TTAATGATTTAACGGGACGATGACATGATAGTCACGCATCATGACGTTGCTGACATGGTTGCCTTACAAAAACAACGTTGCTTTGGCCCTACTATTTTGGTGCTCAAAAAACCTAAAACGACTTTATTTTGCTTGAGAAAAAGTATTGAAATATTGTGTTTGGATGAATTTGAACTTTAAACCCTTGGAAGTAAAGGTTAAAACTTAATCATTAAGTCAACTTTTTGTTATGTTTTTACAAAAGTTCTAAAAATTCAAAATTTTATTTAGGGTTAATTCTGAAATTTTAAATAACCTAGGGACTAAACCTGATTTTTTTTAATTATATTTTTCTTTCTTCATCCTCTTCATCTTCATTTGCATGCCTAAACCGAAAGTTGGAAGACAAATCCAGAAGGAAGGAGGAGGAAAGAGACGGAGAGAGTAGACCTTTCAAAGACCCAGTTGTAAGTGCAAGAATGGTGACTCGACCGAGTTGGCAGAAGACGCCATCCCATTCGCACTGATGAACTTTCTTGTTCCATGAAGAAAGAAGATGAAGGTTCTGAGCCCTATATTGAAAGAGATAACTGATAAGAACTTCACTTTCTGGGTTTCGTTCTTCTCGTCCTCTAATGGCGTCCAATAGCAACATGAAGAACAAATGGAGAAGAAAATAGAGAAAGCGAAACGAAAGCTTAAACTCCATGACCAAAGAAGTTTACAGGGTGAAATGAACAAAGTGATTAAGACTTTCTTTTTAAAGTAAATGAGTAAATTCATTAACTTGCTATCGCATCAGAAATTACAACATTTGCAATACATTCAGGGACATAAAAAATAAACCAATAAGGGTTACTGCAATTTAAACCCCAATGAGCTAGTTTATGTGCAACACAATTATCTTCTCGCTTCACGTAACAAATTTGGAACGTAGGGTGAGCCTTTAGCAAATCAATTTCATCCTTTAAAAGAACCCCACCCACTGCCATGCCTAAAGAGAGATTAGCAAGTCTGTTAACAATTCCAATAGCATCCCTTCGATCTGCACATTCGAAAAGATTAAGCATGAAGAAGAGACATGGCATCGACATCACGACGCACAACTACCATGTCATCGTTTTATTAAGTCATCAACGACGGAGAAACATAATTGAACGTAAAATTAAATATTAGTGTTAAAATTGATAGAATTAAAAAAATAGTGATATAAACGAGTCAATACTTAAAGTTTGGTGTTATCTGATATAGTTTATCCTTTAAAGTTTTATAAATTACAAATATTTCTTTCGAATATAATAATTTTACTTTCATATAATAAAAATATAATTTAAATTTGGTTGCTTTGCTTTCTAGTGAATTTGGTTTTGGTTTTGAGGTGTTATAGTGTAGGGAAGTGATTTACTTGATAGGTGTTTATTTGGGTGAGGTCTTTTGTGATTCTATATTCTTTGTCATGTAGAATGTACTCTTTTTTATATATAAATTTAAGGATGTTTTCAATGAGACATTCTACTTTGATGTTGGCTTCATAATTTATGAATATAAATTTTATTTGCTGAACAAAATAAAATGATAGTAAAAAGTGAATTTAAGAGTCGATTCCGCATTAGAAATGATAGAATACTCCATAAAATAAAAAAGTTAGTATATTGTTAAATTATGTTTATCTTAATTTTTTTTTAAAGTTATGAATTTGAATTTAATGATTTTCATTTTTAAACATCATCAATAACCATCCATGAAGATAATTATATTTCTACAATATCTTTGAAAGTATAGCATCACATAACATAAGATTAAAGCATAAAACATAATAAAAACATTCTACAAACGGCTACGTTCATAACCCAAAAAATATAAACTCAGACAATAATTTAACATTCAACTCTACTTGTTACTTCCATCTTTCAAACGAAGAGCAAAAGTAGAAAATAAATTTTCTTGACCACAGATGCTACTCGACAAAGCTCCCAACCTGCTGCAACACTCCCTGACGAGGGACTTAAGCTTCTAGCTTCTAGCTCTCCATTCTAGAAGGTTCCCCTAACCGCCTGGTGAGTCATATGTTGTTGCAACCTCTGCACAACATTATCTATAGCTTCAAGTAATGCTACAACATCAGTTTCATTTTTCAACAATAAAACTAAAACTAGCCCAAAGCAACTCAACTAATTCCCATTATGCAAATTATGCAAAAAAAAATATGTACAAATAATCCTAATATGCTCCTAATGATGCTAAAGTTCAAACTTAACCTAGGTAAAAGGATCCAAAAAGATAACTCTTTTGGAGAGTTATCACACCCCAAATTTAAATATTTACTTTTTCATCAAGCAACAACATGCATACAATGCAACTAAAGCTAACTGTAATGCCACATAATAATATTATAAAACTAAACAGAATTTTAATTTCATTTTTCAGCCCTGAGGACATTGTTGTAGAAGTGCATACAACATGCATATGATCTTGAATTAAGGAATGCAATTTCAACTTATTAGAATCAGAATCGTTAGAATGTAGTAGAGTGCAGGCTAGGTGTATCCAATAAATACTTAGCTAAGTTAGAAAAAATTGTTCTCACTGGGTTAATGATTTTCAATGTTATAGCAATCTTCCTAGAGCTAATTTTGGAGCATTCCAACTTATTTCCTAAGACTATGTTGGAGCTATTACCATGCCTTCGAACTTATTTCCTAATTTTTTTTAACAATAAAATTGCTACAACATCTAATAAAGATATGAGATTTAAAGTTAAAAAATTTCTAACTTCTCTATGTATTGAGAACATGCACCTATAACGTTAAAAAGTTTCTATGAACTCAACTCTAACAAGTTCCTACAGCATTCCCCTAGCATTTAACATTATAAAATTTTCATCATTGGGCATCATCAAAATTCTTTTAAAAAACTTCATTGATTTTATAACATTAATCTTGCATCATTATAAATACAATTCCTAAATGATGTAACAAAATGCTGAATCATGCAAACAATCACAAACAACATGCATTACTAAATACTACCCTAAATGACACAAAATGTAAATATCACAAAAGAAATAAAACTAATCAACACAGCCAAAGAAACATAACTGGATAACACACCCCAAAACCTAAGGGATGTATTGTCCTCGATGCATACACAAATTAACAAAAATAAAATAAAAGTAAATAGTCATGAGAGAGGGAGAACGAAACTCCCCTAAATGAGCTTTCTTGGACTTTTTCGAGGGTTGATTACACTGGGGCGGAAGCGCTTTGCATTCACCTTGGTCTTCATTGAACTCTTCCGATCTGGCTAGTTGACGTTGATTGGCTTTAACCACAGTAGCATCAGGAACAAGAGTAGTCGATGTTGTAGAAGTGTCTTTTGCCTTTGGTGCAGGGGTCTCCATATTTGGCTCCTCCAGAGGTTCCTTGGCACCGCCAACTTGCGCAGCAATAGATTTCTTCGATGGACTGGCTGTAGTAATTGTCACAACCTATTCGATAGCATTGCCGATGATCTGATCAGCATCCAAATCATGCTCTGCAACAACTGCAGCATCTTTCATAACTGTATCGTCATTTAAATCCAACAATTGTTGGGAAGCTTTCTTGTCCTTGCTATCATCCGATTTCAAGCTCTTTTTCTTCTCTTGGTGGCTGATGTGTTCCTCATCAACTTCCTCAAAGTTGACATCCTTAGAGTCGACAAAAAGTATCTCAGTAGATGTTACCGAATTAGCCACACCGTCGTCCTCTACATTCTTCTCCTTAGAATCAATGTCCTTTTCTACCTCGTTCGTTGTTGTATCTATGTCCAGAGCATTATCTTCCCCATCCTCCTCGCCTTCAACGCTGGAAGAACTGACTATATCATTTGTCATTGCTGGTGGAGCTAAATCATCCAACACCGACATTAGGAAGGTAGGGAAAATTACTTCTACTTTCTTGAACTTCTTGGTTATCACTTGCTAAAATGCCTTGGCATGCTCGTGGGTATACTGCCAGTATTGAACTTAGACATTATGCATCTAAGATTAGTTCTATAAGACATGACTTAGCATTGATATGAGATTGTCCCGCTTGACTGCCACCGATGTTATAGCATTTTGCAGCTCTAATATAGAAGGGCTCACATGCGGTATAGGGGTCTGTGTAGCATCAGGAGCAACAGGGCCTTCGTTGGTTCCCTCATCACACTAGTCTGTGTCCATCCCTTCAAGCAACAAAGTGCACTTGATAGACGCAAGCATGATAGTCGTACGATTCTTAAATAACTGATCAAAAGACAATATAGGCATTTGTGCTTGTTTGCACAGTAAGGTGATTAAAAAGGGGAAAAACAAATGCCCTGTAGTTTTCTGAGCGCAAACATATAATTCAGCAGATATAATTTTCCCAACATCAATATGGCATCCACACAAAATAGAAGGCAAAAGTAAAATCATGTCCTTAGTAATTGTGGAATAGTGCATAGTGGGCATTAAACGAGTTCGAAGGAAAGTGAACCATACCCTCATTGATCGATTAAGGTTTAACCTCTTTATGGTGTACACTCATTTTTACCGTTTAAAAAATTAATTGCCCAACTGTCCATTGCTGCCAGCGATGTATGCAACATTCAATACACAAAGTGGTAGGGATTGCTAAGAAGAAAATTCAGTGGGAATCTACCGAGCTGGCTATTCACATTCGAATCAATCCAGATGCTCCATTTCTCCTGGAACAAATTCTCAGGCTTCATACCAGATGGTAACTCCAATATTAGCTTCCACAACAACAATGGAACAGTGACAGAGAACCTAAAGAGCCGTTTACTTCAATGAGAAACGTCGAGATTAAAGTTTCCGCCATGGTCACCGATACTAACGAATTAAGCTTCAACTTCAAACACTCCTCGACGGTTGGAATAGACTTGTCGAATAATTTGTTACAGGGTGAGATTCCGGACGTCCTCTTCGAAGTACAAGGACTGGAATATCTAAACTATCTTATAACTATCTCGACGGAGAACTTCCTAGTTTAGAGAAAATGTGGAGCTTAAGGGCCTTGGATCTGTCACATAATTCCCTATCTGGCCAAATCCCTGGAAACATCTCAACCCTGAAAGACCTGAAAGTCTTGAATTTGTCATATAATGATTTTTCAGGATCGGTTCCTGGTAACCAGGGATACCGGAGATTCCCGGGAGCATTTGCCGGTAACCCGGACTTGTGTGTGGAGTCGTCTGCTGAAGGATGTGAAACAGCAAGGTCCTAAGTAGTGGCTGGAAAGACATTTGAAGAAGTGGAAGGACCGATATTGGTTTGGGTGTTTTGTGTAAGTGCATTTGTTAGTTTCCATTTCAGTGTTGTGGGTCTGTTTTGTTCGGCTCGAGCTAGGAATTACATCCCGCATGCATTCAATAGTTGCTTCTTTCCATTTTCAAATTCCTTTTTTATCTCTACCATATTTTTCTAGCTCAGTCTTAAAAATGCATTTTTTATCTCTACCATCTTGTTGAATGCAATGCAATATACAATAAAATGTAATGACAAACATGAATACTTACACCTAAACTATCAAGTCTGAGCAGTTTCCCAAGTAAAAATGCATCTCAAATAACTAATTTTGGGGAACTGTCAATCATGGTTTTCATTTTGAAACGATGATTTTTCACTTATGTAGTCAAAATTCAGATGCTCCCAGGAAATCTACAAAGAGAAGTAAGTAACCCACGAAAGAAGGAACTCAAATTCGATTGATGACAACCTTAAAGGTACCAAGACTGAGATACTCTTCTAAGATTCCAATGCTAGTTCAAAACGAAGGAATACTCACGAAAACCATATTTCCTTTGAAATCTCACAAAGCAATGAAGGGCTCTAGTTCTACATGAAGAAAAGTAATGCTATCAAATGCAAGAGAGATTAGTTTAGTAAAACGACTTCACTGAATTGAAAGATAGATTCAATATCTGATCATAGGAAGAAGCCTGCTCCAAGAAACTAAAAGATTAAAGCTTGGTCATGTAACTTGACTATATGGTGCAATGATATCTTGTATATTCACCAAGGCTCCTTTTTTTTTGGAAAAGGCTTAAATATAAAATAAGGCTTAATACAAAAAAATAAGTGCCTATATTATAACTCTTTTTCAATAGGTGTCTAAACTATTTTTTTGACTCATCTCGGTACCTAACGTTACAAACGTTATCATTTTAGGTGTCCGGGCCGTCAATGGTGTTAATTTCTCCTGATAAATGACACGTGTCACAATCTGATAATTTTAAAAAAATTATTTAAAATTAAAAAAATTATATATTTTTTAAAAGAAAACACAAAAATTTGGGGAAACCCCAAAACTTTGAAAACCTTCATTTCAACCCCTAAACCCATATCGACTACCGCTCTTTGCCGTCAACAAAGCTCCACCCAAACTCACCTCCCCCTATCGACCAAAACCCCTATGAAATCATGATTGATCGACAGTCGATCGACAACGAATCAACGTTTTATACCCCACGAACTCTATGATGAAAATCACGATCCTACACGACTCTGACAGCCAACCGGCGACAATTACGACAACATGTGACTTGGAGGATGGTAGAGACTATGTTGGCCCTGGTGGTCATGGCCGAAAAGGGCGGCGATGACAGGTTAAGGTTTGGATTTAGGAATTTTGATGTTTTTTATAATTTAAGAGAAATTAGGGCTTTTTTATAAATATAATAATATTTTAAAAAAATAAATTTCAAAATCACCATATTATAACACTGTCACTTAACGGAGAAAATTAACATCGTTGATGGTCCAAGCACCTATAATGGTAACATTTGTAACGTTAGACACTTGGATGGGTTAAAAAAAGTTTAGGCACCTCTTTAGGAAAAGAGGTATAGTTTGGACATTTATTTTGGTATTAAACCATAAAATAAGTGCCCAAACTATATCGTTTTTCACAAATAGGTGCCTATAGTGACGCGTCATGTTGCCTAGTGTTACAAATGTTATCATTTTTGGTGTTCGGTCTGTACCATCATGTTGCCTACACTATTTTTTCTGCATCATGTTGCCTAGTATTACAAATGTTACCATTTTTTGAAATTACCAAAAGAACCTCAAAATCCTAAAATTATTTATTCCAACCCCATACCAGTCGTCGCCTACCATCACCTGCCGCCTTTGGTAGCATCGAATAACCATCCACCCATCATCAGTCCTCCACTGTCAACCATCCCTCATGTTGTTGTCCTAATACCCTAATCCTTAAACATAAATCCCTAACCCTAATTTCCAAATCTCTTACCCTATTCCTAAATTTATTAGATTATTTAGTTGATTTTGGAGAGGGAAAACAACGGCGAGGGGTTGTTGATGCAGTCGCTGAGAGGGGAACGACGGAGAGGGGAACGGTGAAGGTTATATGGCATGGGTGCACAAATAAACGTCGGAGAGGGGAAACGATGATGTGTTGTCGAATGATGACAAGATTATGATGTTCGGTGATGGGTCGGTGGTTCGACGGTAGTGGCATGGTTCGACGGTAGTGGCAACAAAAATGGTAGACGGTGATGGTTGTTAATGGGATTGGAATTAACTATTTTAGAATTTTAGGACCTTCTTTGAAATTTCAAAAAAATTAAGGTTTTTTTAAAAAAAATATGTATAATTTTATATTTTTAATTTTAATAATTTTTAAAATCACCTAAATGTCACACATGTCCTTTAACGGAGATTTTTAACGGCCATTACGAATCGGGTACCAAAAATAGTAACGTTTGAAGTTAGACACATGGATGATTCAAAAAAATAGTTTGGATACATATTCCTGAAAAGTGGTATAGTTTGGGTATTTTATTTTATAATTAAGCCTTTTCAAAAAATGAGAGATTAACCTTTTTTTCTAGTAATGGGTTAATTACACACTTAATCCCTCAAAAATTAGCTTCCTCACAAATCCCCCTACCCTAAGTAGGGATGACAACGGGCCGGGTTCGGGTCGAGTATTGATCCCCCCGTCCCCGTCCCCATTTAAAAAATCCATACCCGTCCCCGCTTAAAAAACCGCGGGGATTTAAACGGGGATCCCCATCGGGTAATCGGAGAAAATCGCGGGGAAACGGGTATCCCCGTTTGGCATAAACGGTTATTTAAACAGGAATCGGGTCGGGTATTGGGCCGGGTATATATATATATATATATTTAAATTAAATATATAAATATTATATTTTTTTTAATTTAAATTAAATTTATTAATATTATATATATATATATATATATATATATATAATTATTATTTTTAATATTTATCGGGACGGGTATCGGGCTGGGTAATCGGGGCGGGGATTACCGTCCCCTTTCCCGTTTAATTCGATTTTCGGTTTTTCCCGTCGGATTCGAATTTTTTTGCCATCCCTAAGCCTAAGCCTAAATGGGCCAAATTCTTCCAAATGAGATCCAACAGATCTCAAATGTTCAATTACGCTCCTCACTAACATCCCTAATAGATTGAGTGATGGAATAACGAAGCTTGCCTAAAACTATCCTTTTGGTTATCGTGAGTTTAGACGGTTGTCAGATACATTATTCTTATTCTGCCTTGATACGAAGCTATGGCATCTACAGCTTTACGTTAACGTCCTTATCTTTGTTCATAAAATGTCTATAATTCTGTTTTGTTACTTCATTTTAATTTAATTTTATGTGATTTAAAATTAAGAAATTAAGATTTCAGTTTAGTTTGGTGAAATAAAAATAAAAATCAACACATTGATAAAAATGCATTATATTTTAAAAACATTTCAATATTATTGTGATAAATAGTCAAAGTGACTTAAATTCCTAACATAAACGTAAAAGGGGTATATAGAATATTTAAAATAGGATAAAGTTACAAATGGTCCCTTGATTGTAGGTACTGCTTTATTAAGTCGCTCGACTATTAAAAGTTACAAAATGGTTCTCTAACTATAGAGTATTGTTCTGTTGAGTACTTTGACTATTAAAAGTTACAAAATGATCGTCCGACTATTCATTATGTTCCAAAATCATCCTTTTCTGTTAAAAATTGATAATATTCTGAGCTGAATGATAACTTGTTAACTGTGATATGATAAAATCTGGTCAATGAATCTCAAATGACTATCATATATCGGTCATCATGTTAACGTCAAGCTTAGACAACCGTCAATTCTTTAATAGAAATGACGAGTTTGGAAAATAATCAATAGTTGATTGACTGTTTTGTAACTTTTAATAATCATTGGATTTAACGAAGTAACATTCTATGGTTGAAGAACCATTTTATAACTTTTAATAGTTGAGGTACTTAATAAAACGATACCCTATTATCAGATGACCATTTGTATACTTTATTACCCTTTAAAATAATACTCCGTCCACTAAATTTAGGGAAATCCATATCCCTCAACAAATTGTCCGCATAATTCTCCTTCGTTTTCTCGGGAAGAAAAAAATAAAAGAAAAGAAACATTTTGTTGGTTTTTTTGGTTTATTGGCAAAAGCATGGGTCCTCACCGTCTCTTCTTCTTCAACGGTTCTTCTGGTGTTCCTCTTTTGTAGAACTCTGCGCCTAAGCATCATCATCTTCTTCTTCTTCTTCAACGATTTATTGACAAAGATCATCGCAAGCAGAAATGAATTGCATCTCTTGTTTCTCGTCGCCTAAAAGCAAGAAGGATTCCAGCTTCAGAGGAGACTGCAGTCACAGATCTCCCGCCCACCCCATCAAATATAAACCACCTGGTACGTCTTTTTTCTCGGCTAAACTACACTTTTAGTAGGGCAAATTTGCTCGTTTAGAGCGGTGGGAAAAAATAATTCCTCATACAATGCTTCTATCATATTATTTCTTAATGTAGGGTTATTGTTAGAGTGTCAAGGATAGAATATTAAAAACACCATGAGACGTAAATTTTTCAGGGGAAGAATTACCGTCTTCAGCTTCCAAACAATATTCATAGAAATGTAAGAACAAAATAATTAGTGATGGGCAAGACGCGTTGTAATCGATGTGTTTCTCTCAAAAAATTTGAAAATATTTTTGACGTTCTCTCCTTTATACTGTGACAAAAATCTTATATCATAAAATAATATGGTGGATGTTCTATTTGGGAAAATTTTTTTTTTTCCCATTGCTCTACAAGATCAAATTTCCCCTTTAATACTTCATTATTATTTTTGTTCTATTTTTTTAAAAAAAATTATACATAATGTTATATTTTAATTTTATTTTGACCATCCGTTAGAAAAGTAACTTAACAAATGATAAAATATTTTTTAAAAAAAATTAATGATAACGTGACATTACTTATAATGACAATTAAAAATGGGTAACTAAAATAAAACTAAAATTTAATATTCAATATAATTTTGAAAAAACTAATTAGATAACCAGAATAAAATAAAAAGTACAATTAAGTACTAAAGTGTAGTTTCTCTTCTTCTTTTTTACATGATGTAAAATTTCCAAGGAAGAAAGAGAAACAAGGATATGTTTAGATATAATTATATATGTTAAATGCATTGGGTGATTTTACATGTTTAATCTTTATTTGCCAAATAATGTTTTTACCTTTTGAAATTAGATTAATATATATAAATTATTTTGAAAATTAAACAATTATATAAAAATTTAAGAAAATAGTTACACAAATCCATTCAACTTTAAACGTTATATCTTTTACACCATTAAACTTTCAATTAATTTCATCATAATATTAAATTTTAATTTTAATTATATCATTCCATCTTTAAATATTCAGTAAAGACAATGACGTAGATAATCCCTTGACCAACTTAATATCTTGTTATTATTTTAATCAATAGTATCTATATATATAAAATTGCAGTTGCAATTAATTTAATTTATTTGATGATATTATTTTGTAATATTTATAATATAATTTTATATATGAATTTTATATTATAAAAATCGTATGATTTCCTTGAGATTTTGCCTACGTTTAATACTTAAATGGTGCAAGTTGGGCCATGTTGACCCCGTTTCAAACCGGCATATGGTTCTTCTATGCTATTGCGATTTAATTTTTGGATAAACGTTTATCACCTAAACTATTAATTTTATTTTATTTTGTTACTTAAATTTATAATATTTTTAAATTTATATCTAAAGTTTAGTTTTTGTTTCATTTTAGTACCATGTTTAAAATTTAATGTTAAGTTTTGAAAAGAATGAAAATTTAGGTACTAAAGCGGACCAAAACTAAAAGTTTAAGTACTAAAGCAAACCAAAATTGATAGTTTACATACTGATGCGTTAAGTTTTTAACGGTGGGTACTAAAAATAAAATGAAAACTAAACATTAGGTATTGTTTTGAAAAAATTGAAAGTTTAGGTACTAAAATAGATCAAAATTGATAGTTTACTAAATTCATATTATACCCTTAATATGTTTTTTTTAAAAAGATTATTTTATGATAAGTTTTTGTCTGTGTATTTTCATAATGAGATTTATTAGAAAAATATTATCTCAAAATAATTAAAACATGAAAATATTGTTTATGGATATGTGATTTTATTGAGAAAGAAAGATTTAAAGAATAAATTTGTTGTTTTTGTGTGGACTAAGAAGCAAAAAAAGAAAACTTGGAGGGTGAAAATGAGAATGTAGAGGCGGAAGCATTTACATTCCGAGAGCTAGCTGCCTCCACCAAGAATTTCCGTCAAGAATCTGTGTTGGGTGAAGGTGGTTTCGGTAAAGTTTACAAGGGCACCCTCCAGTCTACTGGCCAGGTTACACTCAAATTTTTATTTTTACTGCCTAATAATATTTCCTTTTAGGGCAAACTATACGTTCAATACTCCAACGATCACTTTATTTTGTTTTAGTCACTAAATTAATTTTTTTTAATCATACTTAACGTTTAGTTTTGGCTTCATTTTGGTTATATGGCTTTAAAAAATCAACGGTGAGACTTATATATCATCATAAGGTAATTTCATGTCAATATTGAAAAATAAAAAATATTATGTTAGCAGTTTTATTATTTTTTTGCGGTGAGTAACCAAAATAAAACTCAAACGTAATGTTATGTATGATTTTTTTTTTAAAAATAATTGGATAACAAATACAACAAAAGTGATAATTGGATAGTGAATGTGCCCTTCTTTTTACATATGATTTAATGTTAACATTATTGATTTTTGGGTAAACTACATGTTTAATATTTAAATTATTACTTTTGTTTCGTTTTGATACTTAAATTTTATTTCTTTTTTAAAAATAATGCTTAATGTTTAATTTAAGTTTCATTTCGATATGCTATCGTTAAAAAACTTAACGTGATGTTAACGGGTTACCATTAGGTAATGTCAAGTCATCATTGAAAAAATAAAATATGTCACGTCAGCATGTATGTTAATTTTTTAATTGTGAGGTACCAAATTAAAACTTGACCCATACATTAGGTTTGATTTTAAAAGAAAAAACAAAGTTTGAAAAATAAAACCGAACAAAATTAATAATTTAGGGACTAATAGTTTGCCCTTGATTATTTTATTGGTTGATTTGTTGTTTATTCCTAATCTCCCATTTTTGGAAATTGGAGATAGGTGGTTGCTGTGAAACAACTTGACAGGAATGCAGTGCTGGGAAACAAAGAGTTTCCTGCTGAGGTTGCCAGACTCAGTCGCTTACAGCATCCCAATCTGGTGAATCTCATCGGATACTGTGCTGATGGAGATCGAAGGCTTCTTGTTTACGAGTTCATGCCCCAGGGTTCTTTAGAAGACCATCTACTTGGTATAATTGCAATTTATTTGGTCATTTTTCATTGAATTTTCTGGTATTGTTGAAGAGAAACGTGACTTTGCAGGCAAAAATGCTCAGGGAAAGCCGTTAGAGTGGGTTACTAGGATGAAGATAGCATGTGGGGCAGCTCAAGGTCTGGAGTATTTGCATGTAAAGACCAACCCACCCATTATATACCGTGATCTCAAGTCCTCAAACGTTTTGTTGGATGAACAATTAAACCCGAAACTGTCCGATATCGGACTCGACAAGCTCGACCCTAGGACCGACAAGATGCCTATGCAATCGAGGGCAATGGGGACTTATGGTTACAGTGCACCAGAGTATTCAAGATCAGGTAGACTCACACCTATTGCAGATGTGTACAGTTTTGGGGTTGTTCTGTTGGAACTCATCACTGGAAGAAGAGTGATGGACACTACTAAACCTGTTGAAGAGCAGAATTTAGTTGCTTGGGTATGTGTATTTGGTTACTATAGTTCTCCAATCTTTCTGTACCATTGAACTTTTAGTAACTACCTACCTGTTGGCTGCTGGTTCTCTGTTTGAAACAGGCTCAACCGATATTCAGGCAACCGAGAAGTTTCCCGGAAATGGCTGATCCTTTGCTCAAGAAGCAATTCCCTGAAAGGGACATGAATCAAGCTGTCGGGATTGCAGCCATGTGTTTGCAGGACGAAGCCGCTGCCCGCCCTTTGATGAGTGATGTTGTGACAGCCTTGAGTTTTCTTTCCATGGCCAAAAATGACCACTCTGATCCTTCCAATCTCCCTCCCTCCATCTTATCCAAGCTGCAACTCCAGGAGTGTAGCGATGACGAATCGGACCATGATGACTGTGACAATGACGATGACGATCACGGTAACAGTAGCCGTAGCAGTAGCTGTTTTATGGTCTATTAGTATGCTAGTTCGATACAATAATTGAGTATGATGGTAGCTATTCTTATATGGATGCAAATCATTAATTATAATTGTAGCTCTTAATTTTTTTTTTTAGTGCTGATGGTTTGGATGGGAGACAATGATTAATGATGGTGGTTTCATTTCTTTTATTATTACATATAAAATAATTATATTATTAAAAATGAGAATAATCAATACGTTTATTTTTAAATATATTTAGGGCAAAGTATACAAATGGTCCCTTGACTATAGGGTGTTGTTTTGTTGAGTCTCTCGACTATTAAAAGTTACAAAATGGTCCCTGACTATAGGACATTACTTTGTTGAGTCCCTCGACTATTAAAAGATACAACATGGTCACCTGATTATCCATATTCTCCAAACTGATCATTTTTTCCATTAAATAATTGATGAGATTGACGTTAACCTGCTGACTGAGATATAATAAAAGTTGATACCATAATCATTTGAGATGTATAATCGTTTGAGATTATGAGACTAAATTTTATCATATCTCAGTCAACAAGTTAACATACAGGTCAAACAACCATCAATTTTTAATAGAAAAATACGAGTTTGGAACATATCAATAGTCGGGTGACCATCTTATAACTTTTAATAGTCGAGAGACTCAACAAAGCAATACCCTATAGTCGAGGGATCACTTTGTAACTTTAATAGTCGGTGACTCAACAAAACAACAACATACAATCGGATGATCATTTGCGTACTTTACTCATATATTTAATGCATCAAAATTAAATTTTAAACTGATCACATGTCTAATTTTGAGATTTATTCCTAACTGTATTGGGATAAAACAATTCATAATAAACTTCATGTCTAAAACAAGATATGAGATTTCAATCAAATTTTACCATAAATTGTATTGGGATAAAACAAGAACAAATATAAGCAATTGAATTAACAAGATATGAGATTTTAATCTGTATGTAAATTCATGTCTCATGTTTCATCAAATTGGATTTAGTTTTTGCGAATAATATTATTTTAAAATCTTTTTTGATGAAGTAAATAGAGGTTTAGAAGAAACTTTTGAGTGATTTATAATAAAATATGCCATGGTTGTTTGAATATTTTTCTTAACAATTTCTCTGTGTTTATATTATTTTTGCATCTTTCCATGTAACTTAGTATTAACATTGCTGGTCTGGATGAAATAGAGTTTCTCGCTGGAAAGATCAAGTCAGAAGGAATGTTACATGGTGTCACCCAGAGAGTTCATCATTGTATGAAGTGTAACACACATAACCCGTATACGTCTCGATATACGAGTTAAAGATATAACATCAACTTCACAAATATTTACTGAACATAAAGGCTTAAAATCTCGATTCTTTTTTAAAACTTTCACTATTTCAACTAATTTTTTATCTTAATCGTATAAAATCAAAAATAAATGTTTAATCATTGAAAACGAATCCGATTTCATTTAGTAATTAGGTGGTTCAGTGATGATCATAACTATATAACACTGCCTAAATTTTTCTTAATTTAAAAACTATTTAAAACATAACATTAATATTATTCATTCATAAATATGATTATAACTAAATTAGTCAAAATTAAAATAATCCCAGTTTATTATTACATACCCATTTAAAATGAATCCGGTAAAGCAAATCAACAGATGTTATGTACACACCACTAATAAGTCAAAGATAATATGTCTTAATGATATTGTTGGTAGGTTTGATTTCCAAAAGATACTCAGAAAACTCCTCACTTCACATTCTTTTCTTTACTCGAACCTACGTATGAAAATCATCACATGGTAAGAAAAAGTTGGTGAGACAATATATAGCTAAAATGATATAAAACTTAAATTTCACAAAGTATTATAACCTAAAACTGTAATTTAAATAAAAACATTAAAACTTTCAAACTGAGCAATACAAATGGTTTTCCTCTTGAAAAACTGAAAATCATCATCTCATGATTTTATAAAAAATCATGTAAATCAACACCAAATATCATAAACAATTCATATTCTTATCTTTCATATATATTCAGAACTTTCATTTCGTTTTCATATTCATTTTCTTTCATATACTTCTCATAACTGTCATAATTTTATAGTTCAATATGTAAAAGAATGCAAGGTACGTGAGTCAAACGAGTGTGCACAATAAGCACTTCAGTGCTGTCATCGTAATCAGAATATGCACTCTAAGTGCATTCATATCATTTGCACCAACGATGCTACACATAATGTACACAAAGGTACCAGATCATAATCATAATCACTCCACCTCATGGCATGTTAATTCTACATGCGACTCTCAATGCAACATACAATGGGCTTCAGATCATGTCTTATTTGTTTCATAAACAATATTTCAAATTCAGAATCACTTTTACTCATCATTGTCAAAATAGAACATGGGCAGGTCATACCCTGAACGATCCATAAACTTGATACAAATATTATTAAAATAATATGTGTTTAGAATAGAAAACATACTTTAAATCATAAAATGTTTTCTTATCACAAGTCGTCCTCACTCAAAATAACTAAATAAATAAATTGCATTCACTTTGACATTTCTTTAATAAGTCAAAATATAAGTCTCACTAAGCTTTAGAGTCAATCCTTTGAGTTCAAATGCTTTAACTACATAATTTATCAAAATTTCATATTTTTGCAATTTGCACTACCTTCAAAGAAATATTATTATGTATTAATCTATATACTTAGAAATTATTTCTCTTGTACCAATGGAAACTAGATTCGAATACAAATCTAACCACATAAGACACTCCTTCTAATTACACTTGTACAATTTATAGTGAATTTTCAAAGTTGACTTGCTGAAACTGTTTTGAGCAGAATATGCCGCTCTGTTTTCTGACATATCCTCAATTAAAAATTCATATCTTTTTGCAAACTCATCAAAATTAGTAGCCCATTTCTTTTAAACAAAACTAAACTGGTATACAAATCCAACGGAATAAAATTCATTCTCTAATCAATTCTGTATAATTTATGGTGAATTTCTAAACTTATTGTTTGAATCATAAATTCCTAGATAATTGTCCCTAATAAGCATCCTTAGTTAATTCCATAATTTTATTACTTATCAAATGAACATATAGACTTGAACCAAAAATAAGATAACATTAGGAGTCATATCTTGTTGTAGTAGCTTTGACACAGGCTCATCGCAAGTCAATGTCCTTTCGATAACATAAGTATAAATTAAATGTGCACTCACATTTGCCTCACTATCAAACCTTCTCCACGATAATCTTCTCAATCCCACACTTTTTCCTTTCCTTTTGAGTTACTTGGATCACTAGTTTTATTGTGGTCTAACAATCTCATAAAATAACATAAAATATTTAAACTATAAGTTAGTATCGAACTAACATAATCTAACCTTAAATATAAAATTTGATAGAAATAAATTCGATACTTAAATCGATATAAAACTAAATCGTACTTCCATCGTAATTTCAAACTTCTCAAAATATTTATTTAATTCCATAAATATTTATTTCCACCGTCATCAACCCTTCAACTTTTTCTAATTACAAAATCAAGCCACTAATAATGAGTTCTTTCTAGAATTCACCTTAACTTTTCCATTAAATTCATAATAGCCCTTCACCATTATGATCATTTCATATAAATTTCTAAAATTCCCAGTATCTTAATAGAATATTCAAATCAACACTTAAACATTTCAAAAGCTTGCAATTTCATCCTAAACTTTCATAGGGTTTTTGAATTCAACCACCAACCTTATAAACTTGCAATTTAATCCCAACTCAATGATTTAAACTCAAAAATCAACATGCTATTAAAATTTCCAGAATTTTACTATTTTACCCAAACAATACATTCACATTTAAAAACTTTCAATCAAGTCCCTATAATTCTAGGATCTTTCGAATTCCACCCTCAAGTTTTACTAAATTTGAAATTTGATTCCAATCAACTTTCTAAACTTAAAATTCCAGCATTTCAATGTTAAAAATTAACATTGGAATACCCCAAATATCACATTCTTGCAATAATATCTCACAATTCTCAAAACTTGTATATTAGCCCTTTTTACTATCTCAATCTTCCAAATTGATCTCCTAAACACATAGAACACTTCTAATATCATTTCTAGACCATAGGAAAATTTTCAATATTTTCCCCCTAATTTTCCCTTTATGGCCGAATATAACAAGTCTTCTAGGGCTTGATTTCCATTCAACTTCAAGCATGAATTCAACTTCCTAACATCAAATTCATGCTCTTCTAATCATCACAACTTCAAATTACATCAAAATCAACCAATATCATAAAATCCTAATCATGGTTGTAGCTCTACACATGATTTTAATTATCTTCCATGTCTTAGAATTAATCTCCAACCTCAAAAACATAATAATCTTTCATCAATTCTTTAAAATCCATAAACCCTACATAAACACTAACTTTCGATCTCAACATATAAGCATCTTCACCTTGTAATATTTATATCAAATGATAAAGAATTTCATGTAGATTAATTCTCTATTTCACAACTTAGTCCAAAAATCAATCATGTAAACTTAAAAATCAAAACAAAAATCCTTGCCCTTTTGCAATGGAGCTCACGGCCAAGAGAGAGTTTGAAGCTGAAAATTTGTTTCTCTTGAATATTCTAGTAATATTTAATCTTACACTTGGCTTTCAAATCAATATAATTGAATTTAAAAATTAATTATTGAGAAATTTCATTTCTACCATTAATAAAACTTGAAAATTACTAAATGACATTGTATTATCCTCCATTAAAATATTCTTTAGTTAAATATGAATCAACTTGGTGTTGCCTTTTTACTTTGACCATGCAATTTTCAAAAATTGTATTAGTCATTAAATTTCCACTGTTCGGTCTAAAATCTGAAAAATCACACTGATCTAAACAAAATTTCTCTGACCTAAAATATGGAAATAATATTTCCAACACATATCTAGCATCTTTCAAATTTTCGTGAAATTTCGGTTCGATCCGATTATCTGATTTCCATACTGAATTTTATCGCTTTATAGCTTTTAACACAAATCTTGTACAAAAAATCTGACAAAAATTCTTGTTTTAGGTCAACTTTTTCATTTACAGGATAAAATATATAAATTTTCCAAAATTACACTTTTGATCCCTAAACTTTTACAAAGTTTATACTTTAGCCACTAAACTTTCAAAGCTTATATTTTAGTCACTAGCCAAAATTTGAGGTATTACATGGAGTAACCTCCCATTTTATTGGACATGAATTTCTATACCCGAATCTAGGTATCACTCTCCTCCTTCCCATGGGATTTTAATTTCTGAGCAATTATGTTATCAAGGACGGACACAAAATTTTATATTATCAAATTTTAGAGAGACGAAAATCATATTATCAATAAAATATGAATGTTGGGCAATCAAGAAGGGTCACGTAAGGAGGATGGAGGCCGCAGAAATGAGAATGCTTCGATGGATATGTGGTAGGACTCTGTGGGATATGACACCAAACTCTGCAATTAGGATGTCCTTGGGGGTGGTGCCTGTATCCAAAAAATTGAGAGAGGGAAGACTAAGGTGGTTTGGGAATGTCCTTAGGCGACAACCGTCGGATGCGGTCAGGAGGGTAGAGTCGATTACAGTCAACGGTGCCAGAAGGAGATGACGACCAATGAGGAAGTGGGTAGACTGCTTGAGATCTGATTTGAAGGATTTAGCCCTTACTGAGGACATGACCTCTGATAGGAAAGTATGGAGACTTAAGACCAGGGTAGTCGAGTAGTGTGGTTCACAGCCATATGGTGCAGCATTTATGTCTTCTTTTTTAATGTCTTTGTAGTAATTTCCATGACTTCTACTTTTTATACGCTTCTGTCATTGGAATTTATGAAGGCTTACAACTAGGGTAGCGGAGTAGTGCTGCCTTAGTTTAGGTTTTTAACCGATTTGACTTTATTCCTTCTAGTAGCTTGTTATCGCTGACTTCTGGTTATCCTTCTCTTTATATTTCCTCTTTTTAAATTTAGCTGGGACTTACGTTTCTGTCTATATGTAGAGATTTTTACGCAGGAATTTATTTGCAGGGATTACTTCCCAGTACAGACGCGCATATGAAGACTGCATATGAAGACTGTTCAAT